ATTCTTCGGCCAGCCCGCACCTCCTGGATAATCTGCAACTGCGAGGGACCACCCGTGGCATAATCAAATAAATTAATTGGCGCTCAACGCAAAAGTATCCACAGCGGTATAATAGGGATCATGTAAGTGAGCAAATCAGTCCTTATACTTCTCGGCATCTGCATTAGTGTGTAACTTCTAAAAAATAAAACAAATAAATCGCGGCCAGAATATTCTTCTGCAGCTCGAATAAATAAAACAAGTAAATCACTGCCAGAATATTTTCTGCAGCTCCGCTTTTATAATTTGGAGTTCATTTAAAAAATAAATACAACATTAATTAACATACTGATTATTTGGTGACATTGAGGAATTTTAAATTGTGGAATTATTTGCGTTATTATTATATTTGTTTCTGTGTGTTGTTTGCATTTTTAATTGCTAAAAATATAAATATGTCAGACATATGGAAATCTCATAAATCATTTTCTTGGCGACAGAGCTGTCTCATTGAATTGTGGGCATTTAATTTAGCCCTTATGTGTCGTTGTGTTTTTTGCTTATACCTAAAATTCTCTGTATTAGCTTCTCAACAAACTTGGGTTTTTTTTGTTTTTTTACTGCTTTCCCGCTCCGCGCCGGTACGCGAACCTGACACCGCGCATTCACATTTCGACTCTGTTAGCTTCGCTTCTTTGTTTACCATAGCGGCAGCTCAGGCGCCAAGGCCCCTTTGCTGTACAGTTTTGTTTATGTAAGGCTGCTTAGGCATGCAACTCTTGGTTAATGGAATTTAACATTGCTGTACATGTCATTCCTAAATTATAGGGATACCAAACAAAATAGCGACTCAGAGTCAGACTCTGAGAGGCTTCTAATTACTTCTACACCGAGTTAGGCGGCTACCAGTGCCGCTCCCAATACAAACATGTCCATAAACGCGGATCAGCTCCAGGCTGTCATCCAGGCGGCTATCGCCAACGCACTAACAGAAAAGGCTGGCGAGGACCAGCGCAGGGAGAATGAAATGCGCAAAACTATAGAGGAATTAGCTAGGCAGGTGGCAGAGGCGCGGATATCACCTGCCCAGATAAAAACCCCCAGATTAAAGTTTATGAACCCATTGATATCACAGGCAATGTTCAATGCAACGAGCCCCTAGACGCCGTTAAATGCCTGCCCGAATTTACGGGGGCACAAGAGACATATGTCTCTTGGCGGCAAGCGGCAGTAGCTGCATATTTTATATTTAGAATTTATGTATATAGCTAACGCCATTACCAGGCCGTAATTATTATTAATAGCAAAATTAGGGGCCCTGCTGATGACGTGCTATCTTCGTTTGGAACTGTATTGAATTTTAATTGCGATTATAAATCGCCTCGATTTAACATGTAGTGACAAGCGACCGATGCATGTCATAGGACAAGAGATGGCCACCCTCAGGCAGGGAAATCTCTCACTGCTACAATATTATGATGAGGTCGAGAAAAAATTGACCCTCCTTACAAACAAAGCCACCATGTTGCACGACGCTTCGGCGGCAAGGGTCCTGTGCGAGAAATTCCGGGATGATGCCATTCGAATATTCATCTCGGGATTAAAACGCAGCCTCCCAGATGTCCTCTTCTCGGCAAAGCCGAAGGACATGCCAACAGCGCTTGCTTTGGCCCTGGAGGTGGAGGCAAATCACGAGAGGTATTCCTTCGCGGATTCTTTTGAAAAAGAGCTAGGAGGATAAAGATAAGAAACAATATCCAAAGACGCAGGAGCGCCAACGTGCCACTCCTTAGAACCATTTCCAAACAGGTGCTAGCAAGAATCCATATTTCACAAAGCAGCACAAAGTTCAAGTCCACTCTGCTCCACGCAGTGATAGGCTTCGTGAGAATACTCCCGAGCCCATGGACATCAACCCTTCGCTGTCCAGGATGTTCAAGCCATCTCAGGCGCCGGCTTACCAAAACAGAAAGCCGGCCGTGTCCGATCGATCCGGCCCGCACAAGAGGCAGAGAGTTAACAATAACGCGCAGAGCGCAGGCGAAACTGAGGAAAAATACACCGCCGCAGCCTCAGGCGCGGTCTAAGAAATCAATGACGACGCCATTCATGAATATGATTCGGACGTTATTAATTTTTTTAGGGGAAAATCCCTGCTACCCGTCATCAGACTAAGAGTAGCTGGAGTAGATATGAAGCTTTTGGTAGATACGGGCGCGGCAAAAAATTTCATCCGTCCATACTAAAGATTTAAAGGCGTCCGCTCGGTAGAATCGCCATTTACGATACATTCTATCCATGGCGTCACCACCATCACTAGGAAGTGCTTTGTCTCCCTATTCAACTTGAAGGCCACGTTCTTCATATTACCATATTACCAGGCAGGGGCATCGCTTTGTCTAGCTTCCGGCCAGCCCGACTTCAATTTTACCAACATTGATTGCTCGGACGCGCCGTCTCTAGCTAGAGAGGCCTTTATAAAAATGCTCGGCGAACGAAAAAAAGCCTTTGCAAACCCTAACGAGGCCCTACCTTACAACACGTCGGTGGTAGCTACCATCAGGACGGTTAGTGAGGAGCCCAGTTATTCCAAGCTTTACCCATACCCAATGGGGGCAGCTGATTTTGTCAATAACGAAATCCCCTACAACAACCCAATATGGGTAGTAGACAAAAAGGGCACTGACGAAGCGGGCAACCGCAAAATGCGGCTCGTATTAGATTTTCCCAAATTGAACGAGAGGACGATACCTGATCGCTATCCTATGCCAAATATCTCTATGATACTAGGAAATTTAGGCAAAGCCAAATACTTCACAACACTCGATTTGAAGTCTGGCTACCACCAGATCACTCTGGCAGAGCGTGACCGTGAAAAAACTTCCTTTTCCGTTAACGGAGGAAAGTACGAGTTTCGCCGGCTACCGTTTGGTTTGAAGAATGCTGCCAGCATCTTCCAAAGATCCATCGACGACATACTGCGGGAGCAGATTGGCAAATTTGGCTATGTCTATGTTGATGATGTCATCGTTTTCTCAGAAGACGAAAACGCCCACATACGGCACGTGGATTGGGTTCTTAAGAGTCAGCACGACGCCAGCATGAGGGTATCACCCCAAAAAGCTTTTTTTAAGAAAAGCGTTGGCTTTTTGGGCTTTATTGTCACCAACAACGGTGCCACAACTGACCCAGAAAAAATCAAAGCCATTCAGAAATTTCCCGAACCCAAAAATATATTCGAGGTGAGAACGTTCCTTGGCCTATTACCGATGCTTCATTAAAGATTTTGCATCAATCACTAGGCCCATCTCCGATATTCTGAAAGTGGAGCATGGAAGTGTACAGCAACGGCTTGCTTTCCAAAAGTTGCGTAACATTCTGGCTTCAGAGGATGTCATCCTCAGCTACCCGGATTACAAGAAGGCATTCGATCTAACGACAGATGCCTCGGCATTTCACATTGGTGCGGTACTATTCCAAGAGGGAAGACCCATCACCATGCTATCTAGGACCCTAAAAGACCGAGAGGTTAACTACGCTACTAACGAGCTGTTAGCCATAGTTTGGGCACTGGCCAAATTACGCCATTACTTATATGCACTAAAAAGATATTGTTTGCGCACTTGGCGCAGTTATTAAAATTGTAAACTCTCTATAGTTTTAAGGCGAGAGCGAGAGCCAATAAAGCTTTCCTTCACTCTCGCGAATTTGCCCCGTCTCTCGCCCCCCTTAGATAAGCATAGCTATAAGAGAATGTAATTGAAAATTAAAGCCAGTGTTAAATCGAACCCGATCCAAATCGCACTCCCTTTAGTGGCTTTCGTCGTCAATAAAATCGTCAAAGATCCAACCACAAGTCGCGTTTCTTATTAATACAAAATAGTATTAAAATTACAGATATAAATTTCTATACTGACCACCAGCTATTGACATTCGCAGTATCGGAATCCAATCCGAATGCGAAAATCAAACGATGGAAAGCTCGCATCAACGAGTCCGGTGCTTAAATGTTTTATAAGCCCGGCAAAGAGAATCTCGTCGCGGATGCCCTCTCCAGACAGCAACTTAACGTTGTGGAGGCGGAAGAAGCTTATTCGTGTGCGGCCACTATTCACAGCGAAGCGTCGCTCACACACACCATCGAAACCACGGATAAGCCATTGAATTGCTTTCAGAACCATTTTCTCCACTGATAAGAAATACTTCCTCACATCCATTGACAAATTTTCAAACAGTAGAGGATCTCAAACCGGCTTTATTACAATTCTTAACGTCTTCCCTAAAGCCAGAGTCATTTATTGCGACAATGAACCCTCATTGAACTCGCACACCATTCGGGCCATGCTGGAAAATCACTTCGGAGTTAGCATCTCAAATGCACCCCCACTCCGCAGCGTCTCGAACGGACAAGTGGAGCGATTCCACAGCACTCTGGTGGAGCTTGCCAGATGCCTTAGAATTGACAAAGTCATTAGAGACACTGTAGAGTTGATCTTGCTGGCCACGTCTAAGTACAACAAGTCTATCCATTCGGTCATCGATAAGAGACCGGCCGACGTGGTAGTCACACAATCAAGTGACCCGCAGTGCGATAGACAAGATAGAATAACCATGCCCAAACTAAGCCCAAACTAAGCTGGGAAATACCTCCCGACAAAACAGAGTGTTCAATGTCGGCGACAAAGTCCTAGTGAAATCCAACAGGAGACTAGTCAACAAGCTTTCACCGTTATGCGAAGAAAAAACTGTGAAAGCGGACATGGGGACCACAGTCCTCATTAAGGGGAGGGTGGTCCACAAGGACCACCTTAGGTAGGCGAGACACAAGCATGTTGTCATTCGCCAGATAATTTTTTACTATTTTTCCATTTTTTATCCCTAGCCACTTGGCATAAGTTTTTGCCCTTATCACGTTTTATTATCATTATTCGTACTCATTACTCATTTACGCTTTATCTCATATGTTTTGGTGGTGGGCTACCCAAGTTTTATAAAATACTACAACAAATCCAAAATTACAGGCTTAAACCCATACCTCTGCTATTCCTTTTTGCCCTGACATCGGCGCACGTCACGGACTACTCGCATTCCTATCATTGATGGACGTATGGGAAGAATTCGCATTGTTGAGACACTCAGCGAATCTCTCAGAGTATAGGCGCGTGGTGGAGGAAACTGGTGGCATGATTAACATGTTTCCCCAGTCACACATACAAAAGCTTTTGATCGTAGATGTCGTTCACCTGCGTGACCTGCTCGAATCACTGAGCATCCACCATAGGGTAGCCAGGAGTTTAGACTTTTTGGGAGCGGCGTAGTAGTGGCGGGAACAAATATTAAAATATTAAATTTACTGAATTTCAACTTACCAATGTAAACAATAGACAGACAAATATTAACAACAAAGTACAGGAACAAATTAAATAGTATTTCCACCACTGTCAACCAAATTCTGAGGTCGGCTAAAGAATACCAAGTTGACTCGGGACGAGATGTTATTATCTCGGAATAGGATGATTGCGATGGAGCTGCAAAATTTATTGCTAGCAATAACTCTTGCCAGAATCAATATAGTTAGCCCCAGCATATTAGATCATGCAGACCTGGAAAGTGTGTGGATCGAGCAGCCCACAGATACCCCCATTAGAGATATGCTGTCCGTTGCGTCTGTCAAAATATTACAATCCGTTAACATTTTACATTTCATTATTAAATTTCCAAAAATTAAGTCAGCATGTGTCAAGATCACAGTTTTTCCCGTGTGTGACACAGTGTGCAACGGAGAGATTCACACAGTCAAAAACTGCTCCGTGTCACCTGGACCCTGATTTTGTCAACTGGCGCTAAGAAGATCATGCGCCTAAGAACTCCACGCTGGGGGTATTTCGCACTGCGATATCCAACATAGCGATTTGCACCCTATCACCCACGTGGATGAAGGCATTATCATCATAACCGATCGCCCGGCTTGTGTGAGGGTGGACAATGGCACTTACGTTCACTTACGAGGAACTCACCTCATCACATTCATTGACGGTTAACGAAACCCGTTACGTCAATCACGACGTGGCCCGGAAAAGGGTACCAGGGGTGGCTAGATCGCCTTCCCTGAACATCACCCTGGAACACAACATACTCAGCCTTCCATACCTTTACCGCTTGAGTGAACGTAACCTGGATCATATTAAGAAATTCGGGGAAGATATCAACGGCTATCGTTCACACCAGATAGTGCTAATCGCAGGAGCGATCTGCTGCGCGTTGATCTGCGTCGGCCTCACTTATCGGCAAGTCACCCAGGCCAGGAGATCCACGGCCCAACTAAGGAAGGTGATTGCCCAAATAGGGTCGGCCAAGGGCGACCTTAATTCTGAAGGGGGAGTAGTTAACAAAGTTAACCGGGCGACGGCAAATTGCTGACACAGCGTCTGGCCGGAATCTCGTGCATAGCCGGCAAACACTATCAGTCTCTTTTTTTTAGCTTTAAGTTTCAGTTTAGATTTGTCTTTATATGAAGCTGCGGCTTGTTACTGAAAAACTGTCTGAGTCCCTAGGCCAGCAGGTATAGAAGGCCAGTCACCCTTCCAACGTAATCTTCATAATTCATCTTGGAGAATTCTTCGGCCAGCCGGCGAACTACCACAGCGGCGGACCTTGCCACCCGAAACCCCTGGATAATCTGCAACAGCGGTGGGATAATCAAATAAATTAATTTGTATATTCATATCTCGAATCTATCTTCACGAGAATCGTGAGATACGATACACAGATGCGACCGCCGGTCGGTTGGGCGAGGGGTGGGCCGTGGGAGTCAATATTTTTGAAAATCTTAAAAATATTTAAAACGAAATTTCCGAATTTCCCTAATTGGGTCTGATATATATAAAATAATAAATAAATTTAGTAGTAATAATGTGTTTAGTTTAAAAACGTTATTATCCTATATAAAAAATAATTTAATGAACTTAAAAATGTTTTTACCTGTACCTCAATTGGTATATTAAAATCGACATTGAATTATATCTTTAAGGTGTTGCCGCCAGAGCTAACACCAAATGTTTTCACAATTAAATAAGTTTTTAGTTAACGTACAAGCACCCTAAATCAATACATTTTTTTGTAACCCGTATTCCTAATTCGAACTTAAAGAGGTGGTCGATAAATATTGTATACTAGTGATTAGTGTTTATCCTATAGTTGTAATACCCTTCCTCAATGTAAGCTCACATTTATAATTTAATACAAACTTAACTTTTTACTAAGCTTACTATGTTTTTGTTTCTGAAGATTCTTTGTTAATATATATCTGCAATCATATGTTTAGTTGAAAGAAAGTTGTAGATCTTTTGTCGATGCGAAATATCTGATTACATGTTTTACTCCTATCCAATGCACAACGTAAGGATCCTTGTTGCGCTGCGCTAGATTAGATACTGAGTGTAGAATACCTGTCCTTGATGACAGCGCCAACCACATGAGTACACCTATGACCGCTTGATACGCTTGTTCGTTAACTCTTTCGCATCCTTCTTCGTCGCATGTAATTTGGAAACCTACATCCAGTGGAGTTACAGCTGGTCTACACTCCTTAATGCCGTGCCGCTGAAGCAGATTCTCAATATACAGACTTTGCAACTGGCTATGATCAAAACATTCGAATGATTGAGATATTTTGCTTTTTTAGCTCATGAGATAATTTTTATCTTGAAAAGCTATGATCAGGTCGTCTACGTATACAAAAATAAGTGGAAGATGCGGTCCACTTATATTCATGTAGAGACATGGCCTCGATTTACATGGATTAAAACAATGCTACGCAGAAATCTATCGAATTTACAGTTCCACTATCTGCTAGACTGTTTACGGCCGTAAATTGCCTTCTTTAGCAAAAGCACCCCGTCCGCGTGATCTTTGTCCATAAATCCGCATGATTGTTTTATGTACACAGTGTCTGTTAAACTACTATTCAGATAAGCCAAAGACCAATATAATCTCTCCATACGATTTTTTGCACACGAATTTTTTGTGCAGGCTTTTCAACTGGCTTTTCGCTCTCTTGCCCAAAAGCCAGCGAGAGGGCGCTCTAGAGCCAGCCGCACTCTTGCACGCATACTGCGACAGCCGATGACTGCATGTGTGCACATGTGTTCACAAGCGAAGAAATTCGCTGCAGCGCGCTGTCGAAATATACTCTTTATTTTAAAATTCTAACATTATTAAAAATACCTATTTTGTATTTCCTTTATATGATAATTATTCCAATGTAGTATATTTTTTAGTAATGACCAAATAGATCTACGTATATTAAGATACATCATTTATTTCATACATGACTTCACATTGAAATAATTGTCATTAGGGTATTCAGCGTGCGACGTGTGAACGAATTTTAAAGGCCTCAGAAATTTTGCGATTGAACAGGATGAATATTTTTATATTTATTGTATTTTAAATATATGGATTTAAAAATATGTGGTATTTTTATATTATACGTATTATAATAACATTAAATAAAATTATTATCATAATATAAATTTAATTTAATTCTGTTTGTAGGCGACCTTTGATGTATGTTTAAATTTTTTGAGTTTTTCCGGCTCGAGGTCAACAATTGAAAAATGTTTTAAATAAAAGTTTTTAAATTTAATTTTTTAATTTTTCCGATATATTTCGGTTGCACTTCGGCAACCGTCTTCAGGGCAACTATAATTAATATAAAAAAATAAAATAACATAAATTTAGACAATAAAAAACAAAGCTTTAAAAATTATTACACCTACATAATTTTACACGTCTGCACCGTCGGACGTTTTTTGTATATTAGCTTGGTGTCTTAATTTTAAGTCTGATCTGTGTTGTGATATTCGAGTTTTTAGTTTAAATTTAGTTGTTCCTACATATATACTGTCACATTTTTCATTTATATCTCCATTGCATGGTATTTGATATACAACATTGTTTTTGTCAAACATTTGTATTTTGGACTTGGTCTTGTTGAATATTGGTCGTAGGGTATTGTTGGGCTTGTGTGCTATTGTTATTTTTTGTTTATTATAAAATTCTGACTTTTTAAGGCGTTCTGATAGTCTTGGTATATATAGGTAGGTAGGTTCTCTACATTTTGTTTTTTGTTCCATGTTTTGGTGTCTTTTAATTAAAGTTCTAATTAGATGGTTTCTGAAGTCGTTGTCCTTTAAAATTTGTCTTTTTTCATTTTTGGTTTCTTCATGAAAAATGTTGTCCGAAATGGCTAGCATCCGTTGTATACAACCTACTGCTGTACTGATTATCATTGTTTTAGGGTGTTTTGAGTTGAAGTTGATGATTCGTCCTGATGCTGTTGGTTTTTTATACCACTTAAGTTTTAGAATGTTCCCCTGTCTATGAACCATTGAGTCCAAATATGCTAGTCCTCCATCTTCTTCCTGTTCCAGTGTGAATTTTATGTTTTTGTTGAAAGAGTTTAAAGCGTCAAGTGTGTTTTGTATTTCGTCTTCTTTTACTATTGCGAATAAATCATCCACATACTTCGTCAAAAGTCTTGGTTTGTGTCCTAGTTTTTTCAAAGTGTTGTCTAATAGCTCTTCCATTACTATGTCTGCAATTATTGGTGAAGCAGGGGATCCCATCGGCATTCCTTTTAGTTGTGTGTATATATCGTCATTAAATTTAAAGTATCTGTTGTCTTGTATGCAAAATTGTACTAATTTTTGTATGCTCTTTTATTTTTGTCCATTTTTCTCTAATTGTGTCTAGTGCAAGGTCTATAGGTATGCTTGGAAATAGTGAGACTACATCAAATGATATTAATTTTTCATCATCACAGATGTACGTGTTGTTGATTCTTTCTTTAAATTCTACTGAGTTTTTTATGTTGTAGCTGGAGTCTATGGTGATGTTCTTTAATATGTTTGCCATATATTTACAAAGTCCGTGTGATGGTGATCCTATAGATGAGCATATAGGTCTTAATGGCGTCCCTTCCTTGTGGATTTTTGGTAGTCCGTATATGCGTGGTGGTAATGCCGTTGTCGTGACTAACTTATTCCTTTCGCTCCGTGAAATAAGTCCTTTTGTGAGTAGATTTTCCGCTAATTCATTGTTTCTTGTTTGAAGTTTCGATGTTATATCCTTTCGTAAAATCCGATATGTGTTCCTTTCCTACAAAATGTTATTCATTTTTTGATTGTAAGTATCTTTGTCCATGGCAACTGTCTTGTTTCCTTTGTCAGAAGTTAAAATTAGTATTTCGTCATTTTCCTTTTAAAATTTTCGTGTCTGCCCCACAGTGTCTAGTATTGCGCGATCTATTGCACTTTCCCGAACCGACGTCATATAATCTTTAATAAGTAAAGAGAATTTAGTGCGTGACTCTTCTTGTTGCTCTTTTCCTGTAAGAGTTTGCACCAATTCCTCTCCGTCCGCTATATACTTGAAGAGAGGGAAATTCTTAAATTTATATAAATATTTGTATATTAACTATTTTAATTATTTAGAAAAAAGAAAAACCCAAAGGGGAAACAAAAAAGGTTTGCCCGCTTTTCTTTCCAAAAATGCTTCAAATCAAATTTAAAAGGCACAAAATCATTAAACCAAATTTTAGTTTCACACGAAATACTAAAAATAGATAACTTATAAAAAATGTACTTGTATTATATTTAAATATACTCCTAATGTAGCTAAATGTTGAAAATTAACCTACCCACCCTACCTAATAAATAATAAATATTTATATCTGTATTTGTATATTAACTATTTTATTTATTAAATATACTAAAAAATTAAAATAGATAATATGCTAAATATTCTATTAAATTGATTAAATAATTAAAATAAAACTGCTTGATTAAATATGAATATATTTAAAGGCAGGTTGATAATATTAGATATGATGATATTCGTATTTGCTTTAAATATTTTAAGTCATTAAATCAAAGTTTAATATATTTGAATTAAAATTAAATTTAATATTTCCATAAATCATTAAAAAGTGAATAAAAAAAAGGACATGGATAATATCCTTTATCCTTTAAATATTATATATTTAATTTAAATAAACTTCGTTTTTTTTTTTTAACAATCATATTCAAATAACTTTATTGAAATATTTTTAAATTTAATCAAGCAGTTTTATATGTTCTGTACTAAAAATTATGTTTTTATTTTAATTTAAATATGTAAAACGAAACTATGAATTAAATATGCAGATATTCGTTTTTAAGGTATATAAAAAAGTTTTACATCAAGCTTCGTTGCCACATGTACATAAATGCAATTTAAACAAGAGAGAACGCTATAGTCGACGGTCTCGACTATTAGATACCCGTTACTCAGCTAAACAACTTAATATAAATATGCCTTCTGGTATGTTTTTCGCCGCTCGAATTAGCACCTTGGCCAGCTGTTCCAATGTCAGATGGCGTTAGATGGCGCTATTGTATTGCGCCATCTACCCCAAGACATTGGTACCACGGGCCATGAAAGGCTGAAATGTAGGCGCTAGCCAGGCTTAAGCGTTTAATGGGTTTTTGGGCGTTAGAGTGGGCGTGGCAAACTTTTATTAGGCCAATCGATAGGTATTGACGAAACAAATACATATCAATTTAAATTTTCATAATAGCATCAAAATTGTGGCCACAGCTTGTGGCTTGTGGGCGTCAGAGGGGGCGTGGCACCATTTTGAAACAAACTTGCGCTGCGTAGGAACTCCTAAAATCTACATGCAAAATGCCAATCTTCTAGCTTTTATAGTTTCCGAGATCTCAGCGTTCATACGGACAGACGGACAGACAGACAGACGGACAGACGGACATGGCTAGATCGACTCGGCTAGTGATCCTGAACAAGAATATATATACTTTATAGGGTCGGAAACGCTTCCTTCTTCCATAATTTTGCACGAATACAATATACCCTTTTACTCTACGAGTAACGGGTATAATAAACATCCTGTTCAATCATAGAAGTTCTTTTGACACACAATTAGTTTTTTAGTCCAGAAATGATTTCTGGCCCAAAATCGTCTTCTCGAACAAATACGCACACATACGCACTTGCTTATTCGTGCAATTCTTTAATTAGATTTTTACGCTCTCAACTTTGTGCGAGCGAAGAGAATTTTCGTCGCCAACAAAAAACAAGCTGCATATTGCAAAACCAATGTATGGCGGCTATGCATCTTAGAGATTATATTGGTCTTTGGATAAGCCGTACAGACATCCATCTGGTGCATATATAATTTTAACTGTGCAGCTAGGGCAAGTATGAAACGAATGCTTTCGATTCGACAGACAGGTGAAAAAGTCTCAGAATAATTTATTCCATACTGCTGTGAGCAACCCTTGCCCACTAGACGTTCCTTATATCGCTGCACTTGCCCGTCGGCATTCCTCGTCACAGTAAAAACTCATTTGCAGCCTATAGCGCGTTCTGTTTTGGGAAGATCTACTATCTTGCAAGTATGGTTGTTCATAAGATTTTTGTACTCTCGAGTCATCGCTTTCAACCATAATTCAGAATCAGGACATCTAATTGATTATTCGTAGCTTAGCGGAATAAATACGTCGCTGTTAATTGCTGCTCCTAAAACATTGAATTGCTTTCGCGGGCGTCCAGGTTCCCTCCGGTGTCATCATCCTCTGCGCTGTTCTCGTTTTCTGCACTGTCCTCATCTTCTGCGCTGTTCTCGTCTTCTGCGCTGATGAAATCGTCGCTGCTGTGATATTTTTTTATGCCCACCTTGTCTTGGTCGTATGAGCTTTCGTCGTCCGAACTGTATCCGTGCGACCCGGGGTTGACTTTGCCATCTGAGCCTACATCGTTGTTGCAGTTGTCCCTCTCAGCCTCCAGTTTGACGTTTGAAACACCACCGCCTTGTGGTAGGTCAAACACCATGAGTCCAGCATCCTTTTATCAGCTCGCTCGTCTAAAAGTACATCTCTCTTTTCGATAACTTGTCCAGTGCTAGGGTCGTAGAGCCTATACCCTTTGGCTGTTCGAAAATAACCGACCATTCGGTATTCCTTTCCTTTTTGCTTGAATTTACTTCGTGTGTGGCCCTTATCCTATGCAAGGAACCAAAAACTTTAAAATGAGATATTGATGGTTTTTTAACGTTCCACGCTTCCATCGGAGTCATGTCTTTCAGCGCGTTTGTAGGCGATCTGTTTCGTAGATACACACCCCCATAGAGACTCCACCAGTCCAGACTGCGTCAGCTAGCATCGGGCCATCTCGGTTAGCCCTCTCCGCTACGCCGTTTTGTTGTGGGCTGTACGGGATTGTCAACTGCCGCCTGATCCCATTCGCTTTGAGAAAGGTTGCGTTGACAAATTCCTTTCCGTTGTCCCTTCGTATACATTTTAGAAGCTTTCCAGTTTGCCTCTCCACGAGCTCCTTAAATTCCACGAACTTTGAGAATACCTCGTCTTTGCCCTTCAGAAAGTAAACAAACATGCGACGTGACTTGATGACTCGATGAACGTGAGAAAATATCGATTTCCACCCAGTGATCTTGTTCTAAAAGGACCGCATACATCTGTATGAAAAAGTTCCAATACTTCACTGGCTCGGCTTTTAGATTTATGTGGGAACGGTTGTACGGTTATTTTGCTCAACATGCATGTTTTACAGG